GAGTGAAGATGTATGAAGAAGTTCTTGTTGAAAATGCTGGGATCGGGGCTGAAGGCGCCCTTGAAGAGTTTGCCTCCAGCGTTTGCTCCGATGGCTTGCGCGAAGCGGAGGCTCTGCGTCCCTTCCTTTTCTTGGACATAAAACTTAGAGGGTTGCCGGGGTTGCCACTGATTTACTACTAGAGGGGCGAACATAAATAGAACAATCGCACTTTGAATAGATTATCATAGGAGATCAACGGATATCATAAATAAAATGGCCTGTTTTGAATCATAACAGAAATGAACGCAAGCTGCCTATGTGGTATGCCGGCCATCACCAGGTGGCTGGTTTGATCAAGGCCCTGGCCCTCAAGTTGAGTGCTCAGATCAAGGTGGACATCAGCCAAGTTGCCTGTGACACTTGTGATATCCATATTTGTTTGGATATCAATGGATATCATATGTTTTAATAGGATGATCATATGATAAGCAATAATGATGGATCTTTGACATTGACATGAAACAGGCTGTTCGAATGCTCATACTGCAATCCCTACCCCCCAAGATTCAATTTCCCCCTCATAAACTGCCATATGAAAAGCTCCAATAAGCACTAAACCATGGTCATGGTGTTAGGATGAGTATTTCCTAAGTCAGAAAGAGACTGCCTGATGTTGTTGGGAGGCAGGCTGGCCCCTGCTACTCGTAGGTGGATTGTGAGATGCTGTTCGCTCGCTTTGATGTGGATTCCGATGGTCTACTGGATAAGGCCGAGGTAAAGAGTCACTTGGGCTGATCTGGATCACAGATGCGTCATAGTTTGAACTGGTCTTGCTTTTTGCAACGTAATAACGGCTTCCCGGGATCAGGGTTGCCCGCATGGGTCATTGTTCAAAACTTCCGAACTCAATGAGGCTTGCTCCGAGCAGTGCTTTTCCAAAAGTGCAAGTCTGTTGTGTTGGATGCTGACGTGCTTCCACGAAAGCGCCTGAGAAATGCCTACCAAATCCTGCGCAAGCTGGGCGAGGGTGGTCAAGGTGCCATGTATTTGGCACAACATCGCAGGGTCGGGGCAAAGCGATGCGTGAAGTTCTACCCCAAAGGTGCACCCAACGCGCCGATAGAAGATATTCTCTTCGAGTTTGAGGTGATGAAGACTTTGGACAGCCCACATGTGGCTCGCACATACGAGATTTTTCAAGACGCTAGCCAGAATTCATTAAATAATATGCATATGTTTCATCTCGCAGGGATCTGCAGCTTGCCATGATTTTGTGGATTTTCCTTTATCCGAAAATGTTGTTTTCCAACTGGTTTGCAGGGACCTTTGCAAGTTGGAAAGATGTTCAACCCACCGTATTCCATACATCATTCCATACTTCTGAGTCAAAGATCCCAACCCACCTGCCATATGCCATGAACAACCGGAGGGCTCAGGCTCATCCATTAATCTCCCTTTAGCATCCTCTGACTACGGTTTTTCCAATGACTGAATTGGCGGTGGCATTGGTGTCCTCCCTGAAATGTTTTTCAAGACCTATTTGCATCTGATTTGCGGAGAGGATCAGCTTCGCTGGACCTTTGGGATGGCGATGGAGGGAGGGAGAGAAAGAGAGACTTCCCCAAATCTTGCCATAAATGTCATAAATGCATCCATACGCCACGTTTATACCGAAGGATGGCTCCTGGTTTTACATCATCAGTGAGCCCTACACTGGGGGAGACCTCACGAAACTCGTGGCTTCCGCCTCAGAAGCCCAGGTGAAGGCCTCCATTTTGCAGCCAGATTTCCTGGTTTCATCATTGGGATTTAAATGATTTATATAACCATCAACAATGCGGTTTAATGGGGTTTCATGGGGATTAATGATGGTTGTATCATATTTAACTGGGCGATTAAACATACAGCTATAACTCAGCTATACCAGCTATGACTTAGGGTAACCGTTTGGGTCCCAGGGGTTTGACTCATACCTATGACCTATCGTGTTTATAGTACTCAAAAAGAAACCTCTAAAATTTTGGGGATTGATGTGACCATCCATCCACCCATCCATCCATGTCTTTATATTTATTTGGTTCACTGACCCACACACCACTGAGTGGCCCTCTTGCAGCATCTCAAAAACATGTCAAGACCAAGTGAGAATTTTCCAAGTGGCTGTAGAAGGTTTTGGGTCTCATCTAGAGCCAAAAAATGCAATCTTGAGATCAATCAACCCAAAACCACTGTGGAAGTGATCATAATGACCTCACTGCCACTGTAGATGGTCAGTATAGTGGGAATATCCCAAAGAATTCTTTCTCAGGTTGGTGAATTTCATTGAATTATTATTATTACTATTCATTATGATTCTCACTTCCCCAGGATTGCTTGCAAAAATGATCGAACTTGGGGATGGTCTTCCAGGCAAACAGATATCTATTGTCCACATTTTGGTGTCCATCGATGTTGGGCCACAATAGGTTTAGACATCGGCATCCGTTTTATTTGCCTGGACTTTGATGTGCAGGTCACAGAGGAATGGCTGAGCAACATCTTCAGCCAAGTGCTACTTTCCAGGGCAAGACTGATCTGGTTTTTATATGGGTTTATAGTGGAAAATCCTATGGATGATTTATGGGTACCCCTATTTATGGAAACCTCCATATGTTTTTATGTATTTGAATCCAAGCTCATCCAAGGGCTGCTGATTTCCATAGGTTTCGCGTGCAGAAGCCAACTGTTCCAACGCTGGAGAACTCCCGGAAAAGTCATCGAAGTTCTGTACGTCTGGAAGTTGGAACATAGGGAGAGCTGGTAGGATCTTCCATGACTATTAGTGAAGTCAAGTGCTTAAGGGTCGGGCGGGGCTAAGCTGAAGATCAACACCGAAACAGTCAGGCTGAAGGGCTTGGTTTTTCTACATTCCAAGAAGATTCTGCACTGTGACCATCGGCCGCAGGTTTGGCAATCATGCTTGGGGGCCACTGCTTTGCTTTCTTGGCAGTTGGGTATGGCTTAAGATTATTGACCATAGCTTCGGGATGCTTCAAGGCCAAACATGGTCAATCTGTGTCAATCTTGTTGTTCTGTTGGCACCCTTTTCGCGCCACGCCCATTTAGCTTTCACAACCCCAACAGGTTGCTAGACTTGTCCTAGACACGTGTCAACTGAGGACCTAAAGGAGTCGAACGTCATGGTAGCTGAAGATCTCAAAGTAAATTTTCAGATGCTCGGTCCAAACTGTTGTCAAGAGGCTGGAACAGACCTGGCTTGTGGTTCCACCTGCGTATTTCCTCATGTGTCCTCCTAGTTGGGATGATAATCCCCAATGGGGCTAATGTTTTTTCACCAACCAGCTACTTACACCTACTTACCTAATGACTATCTACTCTACTTATCTCTATACTTATAAAACGTGTTCCCTGAAAATTTACTCTACGAAAACAACCTCATACCTCTATACCGAATTGGAGCTAGGTGGTGCACCAGGATCATTTTGTTTCGCCAAACCATTGTGACATACCGTAGACTTTTAGCTTCCCCTCAAGCAGTATCAGGGTAAATCATGGTAGATCTACAAACAACATTCACTGAAGAGTAAAGATGATACAAAGCACGCACCACTATGTGAGACTATGTCATGTATATATATATATACATACACATTTATGTACTAGAATTAATTATATACATGTCACGCAAACAATTCATATTTCCATTAATGTTTAATTGCAAATGATTGGGCAAGTGAGCTTTGACTTTTTACTTGCATGTCACGTATGTCATGTTGTATCACTTGATATTTGATATCCGATATCTTCTTCCGACAGAAGTAACCAGGCCTAGGTGCACATGTTTTTCGCAGATTGGTCAGCTCAGGAACCCACATGTCATCCTCATTGACTTTGGTTTGTCCTCCACATTTCTATCCACAGAGCGGGGCGTTTGGGGTACTCCAGGCTGGTGTCGAGCGTAGAGGCGTTTTGACGTGCAAACAAGTTGGAGATGGCTGTTCCTGAAAAATTCAGACCTCCTCACATCCACCAAAAAGGACCCCCAATTTGTCCCAAATGCAGCATGTGCATCAAAACTGCTCCTAGTTGCCATGGTATCTCCCAGTTACATTGAATTTCGCACACCTATTGGCCTGTTTGACTATACATTTGAGCATGGGCCAAGGGGTCAGGACAGCCACACGCAAGACTGCCCCTGAAGTGCACAACTCCTTTGCTGAGACAGGCTATATTCCACCGGAGACCTTCGTATCACTCTTCTGGGTTCCGAAAGGTGACATTTTCTCAGCTGGTGTCATGTTCTACCAGATTCTCTCAGGAAGACAGGTTGCTTGTCATAATTCAGTCGCTGATTTATTTTCTGTATTGGGGTTGGCACAAAAACGAGCATGATGTTGGCTGGTGCATGTGCACCTAGGCCAAAGTAGACTTCTAGTACCTATTCCATCCTATTTCCATTCCCAACTGAAGCCGTCTTTTTGGGTTACTTTAGCCGTTCAGTTCAGTGGTATCAGGGAATGGAAATTTATAAAGTATAGATGGGTTTGTCTGAAAATAGGGTACCCCCAATTCCAATGGATAATGATCATGTTCCCTATTAAAATGGCTATTAATTAAATTATTGGCTATGTAATATTAATAGCCAATTAATAGCCAATATTGTGGATACTATAATATGTAATTTTAATTGAATTAGGTCCGGTATCCACTAGTGTCAGACAAACCCAGATAAAGATTAAAAGATATTAAAAGACTATCCAGTTTGCCAGCACGCACCAGGCTCCTTTTGCGCATCCTTCATCGCCTCAGACACACAGCTCGGGAGGACCATGGCCATGTCATGGGACCCTGGGACGCACCGCACCTGGCTATTCCGGATGGAATGTCCATTCTATGTGCGTGTATAGCATGAGATAGAGCAGTTATATGCAGTTATTAAGTTATACAGTATACGACTATACGCCTACAATCATCATCATGACAATCGAATTTAATAAACATATGATATGCATATCTAATCATATCTATAACTATCATAGCAGAAGGACCAAGTCCCACTGGCCATTGATTTCCTACCTTCATGGAACAAGTTCCCTAGTCTTCGCCCGTGGACAGGCGAGGCGAACTGGGACGTGGTGGAAGAACGCACGCGGCAGATCGATCTGCCGGTGGATGGCATCAGGGCGTCCCTGTCCTGTAAGGTTCGCTGAAGTTTGCGCATCATGGGCTGAGGTCATTTACCCTCTGGTAATTTAACATAGCTATTGAAAATGGCCATTTATAGTGGATTTTCCCATTAAAAATTGTGATTTTCCATAGCTATGTTAAATTACCAGAGGGTAAAGGGGCCTTTGGGGAACCTTTAAAGTAAAATCCAAACAAATTCTGCGCATCGGCATTGCGGGCAAAGAGTGGTCCAAGTATGCTCCAAAGTGTGAGTAATATCTATAAAGGTCCAATGGCTAAAGGCTGACCAGCAATTTCCCCTGGCGTCCCGTCCCGTTTGGATCCATGTGGCATATTGGGGCTAACCCATCCCAATCCATGTTCCTCTCCCACAATCGGTTTAGAAATTGCACAACGCTAGTAAAACACAGGAACTGCCTCTATATGCCTCTATGATATTTGGGGCAAACTTCTTAAATATCTGAAACCCACGTGACCCAACATCACCAGCCCCATTCTCCAGGCCATGTTGAAGCAGATGACCTCCAAAGACTTCAAATTGAGGCGACAACCGGGGGGTTCCTACAGAAGTCCCCTAAGAATCCCCTAACATTTGGGGTCCCAGTGGCCCACAAAACGGGGCTGGCCATGTTTGGAGGCCAACTGCTCGCGAATGTTTGGAGCTGCCTTGGTTTTCCCAAGCAAAACCGGAAAGCCTCGTGGCAACGGCTGCGTTGGATAGACTGAAGGCATTGCAGACACGTTCAGCACCTTGGATGTTGCTCTGATGCTACGTGTTTTCTGCATTTTGTTGGATATATGATGATAAAACACGTTCTAACATTTCTAACCTCCAGCACCTGTTGTGGGACCTTAGATGAATGCCATATGGGCCATATGTGTTTCTGTCTCATTTGAGACAACCAAAACGAAGCAACCGAGGCATCCCAGAAAGCGATTTTTGAGAAGATGCTCTCTGCATGCAACCTTGCACAAATGCGCAGCCTGAATGATCTTTTCAGGATTCAGGGAAGATCAGGGAATGTCAAGGAAGTGTGAGGGACCATGCTGCATTGCTCATTCATCGAATCCATCATACTTGGCTTTCGATGCTTTTTCTACTTCATGGATTTCATGGGGCTGTAAGTCTCAAGTGCCACATTTGGTTGTTTCATGCCTTAGGCTAGGTGGCTGGACCATGGACCAGGCCGGACCTCCTGAGGGGCCACATTGGTCTATCATGGCTTTCCGTGTCCATCCGTGCCCCAGGAGGCTGGACAAAGATGGTGATGGCATTGTCACCAAGCAGGAAGCGCAGGAGGCTTTGCGCGAGACAGACATCCGGCCAGAGATGCTGCAAAGGCGGTTGGGGGATTTGGAAAGGCCGACAGCTGCCACCAAATGGCTAAGCATCTAAGCATTTGAGAGGCACAATGGAAAGCTGCAGACTCTGAAGACTTTGAATTCACCGAAATCATCATCAGATATTTTTCTTCCATTTCTTCCACATTCTTCCACTAGCATTTGCCAGGCCCATCCAGGCCCCATACTTTTTTCATCCCATCGGTAGATGGTGAGCTGCAAGGCTGGTGGGAATCTTGACTGGCCCTGACGGCATGGGGGTGGAGTACAGCGCCTTTATGGCGCAGATGATTGGGGAAGAAGTGCTGCACGAAGGTGTGCGTCTCTTGCTGCAGCTGGTTTCTCATGGTTTCTCCAATCAAAACCTTTCGAAGACCTAGTTTTCATTAATTTTCAACGATCATTTTGTGGCATCTCCAAATTTCTGAACAAACCATGACCACCCCAACAAATGGTGAATTCCATGAATTGAGACTTGACAGTCCTCATTTAATACTTCGACCTTTTTGATCCTTTTTAAGTATCGAAGTCGAGGCAAAGTTTCGGCCACACAATCTTCCAACATGTATTTAGGTAAAGATTTAAACAGCTGTCTAGGCATTCGAGAAATGTATTCATGGAATATTTCTCCCAGGTTCAACTTTGAGACGATTTGAAATTTGTAGCTTTAGATCTTCAATTGGAGAGAGAATGGACATAATTACACATCAGATGCTTGTCCAAGAATACCATCCAAAAATGTTGGTTATGGGGGATCGGGATGGTTGTAGTCTATGTCGGAAGTTGACGTAATCACTCTAAACACGTGCGCATTAAAAACCACATGTGAACATTGTTGTTTATTAAAATGCAACCTTTCATTCCAGATATCATTGTTGGTTCATTTAGTAATTGTAAATCCCATATTGTGATCTTGAAAGAGTTTGTTTGAAAATGGGGCACACCCTTCAGCAATTTCAATGGGATAATGAATGATAATGATAATAAGCAGTGCAGCGATGTGCAGCGCCAATCCCTAAAAGATTTTGTTGGAATCATTTTCCCCTAATTTTCAGACAGAACCAAACTATTTGATTGTTGGTTCATGTTGGTTCTATACTCGGTTTTATCCGCATTATATCCCTATAATTGTTGCTTTATATCCCCTTGTTGCATCGTATTTCAGATGGTCAAAATCTATCTTATTTTTCTCTGGAGAAAGCCAAATCTTTCCTCCACCTTCACGATGGAGATTGGAGTGTTTTGCCACGTTTCACTAGCAGAGATCATGGAATGACATGTTTTCTGTTGATAATGGTTATATATGGCTATATATGGCTATATTATATGATTAATTATCAACCATGATTAACCATGATTACTCAACCATTGGAATTGTGTTATTAATTATTAACCATTATTAATAACTAACAATGATATTCATTATTCCATCATGATTAGCCATTATGATTCAACCATTGGAATGACCATCATCATTATTAATAACTATAAACCATTATCAACCATTATTGATAATGATTCACCATTATCACTATTAGCAGCTATAAACATCTATAAACAATTATTTACCATGATTAACCATGATTAAAGACTAATAAACATGACTAATTACTGCCCATGAGTTTCGCCTTGAATGAGTTTAGCCACATTTTTAAACCTGGCTTGTTCGATCTCCGAGGTCTATGGGACCTCTTCTGTGAGTTGGACCTGGATGGAGATGGCTATTTGACGCGTGAGGAGCGTCGGGTGTTTTTTTCATGACAGCCATGGGGATTTAACATGCTTTAACCATGTATAGAACGACAAAACAGTTAGGAGTAAGATGGAGTAAGTTGAGTTTTTTATTTTCCCCAGTTTTCTGAGGAATCAGTAATTCTGGAACAAGAGGGTACGGGAAACAACCGTACCTTCGTACTCCTCAACTTCCGTTCTATAATTTTGGCGCTGCCCATATCTGTATAACCAGTAAGAATGGAATAAGAATAAAATAAGACTGGAAAAAATGGAATAAGAAGAGAATAAAAACCGAAGAATGGGAGAAGAATGGGACAAAAATAAGAATGGAATAACAATTGGATAAACATTGTATATATAACCAGTTTGGTAAAGCCAAAAACTAATAATGCTACCATTAGGAAATGATGTTTACCAGCCATTCATGGCAATGTTAGGGATGGTTTATGGCATTTGATTTGCCACATTACAGTATATTAAAATGGAACTATAATTATAATTAAATTATAATTTATAATGGTAAAACATGGGGTTATAATGGGGATTATAGCGGGATGGCCCATTTGTAGATGATAACGAATGTGATAAAACTGGGGATATGGGATTTATATCATAAGATTTCATCACATTTAAAGTGACTCCCTTCCCGCGATTGTTTCGCTTGGACTAGGTGGGTCTTTAGTATTAGGGGAATGAAATATTTACCATACCACATGGAGGATTTCAATATGGATCATGCATGTGGTAACATGATATTATGTTTTAATATTTTTATTGACATTAAACATATTTCGTTGTAAGCCACTTGTAACTTTGATAACTTGCAAATACTTTCCCATTGGTTAATTGCTTGGGATTTACTATCTTTGGGAATTTCTTAATCATTTCATTTCCATGAATTTCCGGCGGGCGGCGGGCGGTGACGGGACTGCTTGAAGAGCTGCTTTGAGAAACCATCACCTGTTCATAGACGGATGTTCATGGATGTTCATGGCAACATTTGGCGGCTTCAACTTTTTTTTCTGACGGTTTCAATTGCTGGTGCTTCTTCCCAGCCATGGTTTATGGTAGATGAGATGTAACTATATGTAACTATAGATAACTATAGTCAATAGGGTTTATAAACCGACTTAGAACTGGGGGGCACCACCCTGTAGGTTTTCTTGTGTTTATCCGTGCCAGGAGTTGCCTGGCTTGGTGGCTGCCTGCAAATTCAACCCAGGCGAGGCTGAGCGATTGCTGCTGGAGCTGGATTCGGACACTGGGCACTGGATTCGGACAAATGAGGGTTCCCATAAATGGGGGTACCATGGGTACCCCAATAGCTGGATGGTTTAGGGAAAATCCTATGAAAATGGATGGTTTAAGGAAACCACTATTTTAGGAAACCTCAAAATTGGGTTGATATGGTTTGTTTGTGTTGAGTTAAGATGGTTTCAACCGGCCACAATCATGGAAATTCCATGACAGTTTGTCCACTTTTGAGATGTTAACCATCTACAAAGGGGAAAGTGGGAAGTTTTCATTTGCCAGTTTTGTATAGCTTTGCTTGTTGCAAGACGGTTCTGTCGAATTGCAGAGACGGTTTTTTCAATCAAAACCAGACATCAAACGGAGGCCCGAAACCTAGCGTGATGGTTGTATATATATATTATATAGTCGTATAAAGCGTTCAATCTGGAATCATGTCATCCATGTCCAGCAAGAACTCAATAATGCCATGCAGCTGAAGCTGGACGATGAGTTGGGAGTTGATTGACATGGAGAACCCCCTTATTTCATCTTGATCTGGTCATTTCATTGTGTAAACCAAGGTGTTTGGGGAGTCTTCCAATCTGGCGAGCTGAGGATGGTGATGGCCGCGTGTCATTCCAAGAATTCAAAAGCGCATGAGCCTTGGCAGCCTTGCCTGAGGGATCCTGGGACCCTGGCATGGCACATCGCGCGGCTTCATGGAAGGCCATATTTTGGAAGGATATGTGGCTACGTTACTACGCTTATTCCTCGCAAAAACTGGCCAGGATGTGTGGCTAAGAAACTATATTACAATGACGGTGATTATTGGGGGTTACTTACTATACATGCATGTGATATATATATATATATACACGGTGTTAATAATATGATTATCCTAGTACCACAAAAGGTTGCAATCAGACATAATAAGATGAAATAAGTGTCCAGGGGATTTATCATGTTTTGCAAGATGTTTTATGTTGATTTATCCACTTTGATATGGATTAAGATAAGCTGGCTAATCCCTATTACCAGTCAAACGTAACCAAATAGCGTGCATTTACTATTGCATTGACTATATATCAATACATATCAATGTAATTCAATGTATATATATATACAGATACACACACATATATATATATCCTTGTTTCAGGATGGTTGAATTGTGTCAAACCTCTATTTTCTTCGCTACAACCTTATTGATATTACTTCCAGGGGCGTGGAATTGCTTCCAGGGGCTTTTCAACCAAGGCCTTTCCGGAGTGGATCTCAGCTTCTCGCGCCGGCTGCGAGATGGATGGCTTTGGCCATGGTGACAATGGCAAGTTGTTGAGAAGCTTGTGCCGAGGGGGCCGGCGTTTTGGACATTTCTGAACGATTTCGGTGAGTCCAAAACACAACATATTTTAGTGATGTCACTGATGTCACTTTTATTTTTGTGAGCAATTACAGTGATGTCAGAAACATATATAATCGGGCAGGAAGAAATGCTTTATGCAGAATAATTGGGTTCCCAGCTCCAATGACCTTTTATGTATATAGTATGTAATAATATATATATAGTTATATATATATAGTTATATATATAGTTATATATATATCAGAAAACAAGCCCCAATTGGTGGTTTATGATGGTTTAATGGATTGTTTGTGGCATTGTGTTTAATAAATGGGTGATCAACCATGTACCAGTATCATTTCGGCTGCCAATGCTCCATCCGAGCCTGGGCTTCGAGGAATGGGCTCTGCGCCAACAGAGGCGCGCCTTTGTGAAAAGAATTCGCTGCGCGACTTGGGGAGCTCCAGTTATCTTGTAACCCCAAACAACTAGTTGTATCCTAGTTATGTAGGTGAGTCTTAAAATGAGGGATACCTCAAAATTGCTGTTTTCATGGGGGCAATGATTATATAACCACAAAAATGTTTGAGGCACCCTATTTATCAGACAAACCCATGAAACAAATCGGAACCGAATCATAATGATGAAGAGCGTGACCATGTCTAGTGGTAGAGGGTTCCAGCATGGTTCCAGCGAGGTCCGGTTCGCGTTTCCCACTGGTTACTTAATAGATTTAGTAGAGGGATAACCTGGCATTGAGCAAGAGGCATGTGATGACAAATTGCGTGCCAAAGAGGCCCATCATCCCTGGAAACATAAGCAAATATGGCACTTAGAAGCCCTGCTGGGCACTGCGTGCAGATGATCAGATGCGGAGTTATTCCCAGCTGTTTTGGTATACTGTATACCGCAAAAGTCCATTGGTCGATCATTCCCAAGGCCCGCGAACTGTGCAAACCGTATTGTTTTGCTACTGTCAGATAGTGTCCCCACCATTTGAACATTTCCAACCCAAAAATGGCGCATCAGAATGGTTTGCACTGTACCTTCAGCCCATCCGAGGCTTGTGTTGGGCCTGCCGTGTTTGGATCTGGGTTGAACTTAGTCTCGGTCTAAGACACCTCCGCAGCACGGGCTCTTAGTACCAATTTTTATACAGGTCCTGGTGTCAGCTGGCGATGGCTTTGAACGGCAACTTGGATGATCTTGGATTCTTGGATGGGAAATGGTTGTGATTTTGTTCGGCCCTCATTCACCCCATCAACATTGATAAGTGTATATGAAATGTTGGTCCATTAAAACACATTGAAAACCATGAAAAACAATGACATTCTGGGGTAAAACACAAATTTTCATGGCCACTTAGAGGGTCCTTTCGTGAGGTGATGGTCTCGGGCTTCTTTGGTCGGAGCCGCTGAAGGTGACCGTGGAAGGTGCCTGTGGAAAAAGGGAATCTCCTTGCGGAATCCCCAGTTGGGGACCATTTTTTTTTCGGAGCTACCAATGTGAATGGCATCATTTTGGGGATTTTCGACGTTTTAGATATTTCTGAATAAAGATAATATGCAATTAGATGGGCAACATATTATACAAATTGGCTGACGCATCGAAAACGCTTCAGTTCTTTCAATGTAATGTGTTTTTACTGTTCCTGCCAAAGGAAATCCCCAAAGGACAAGTAATGAACATCCTACTAAGATGAAAGAACATGACCTTTCCGTCGTTTTGGGGGATGCTATGCTGATTATGAAAACTGGGGAGGGGTAACCACCAGGATATACCAGGATATTGGTCCAATGCTGGCGAAGAAACCTTGGTGTATGACGGTCGGTAAATGGTAAATGGGCAGTTGGTTGTTTGCAAGTTTGATGCAAAAATATTATACCAAACTCAAAAGATATTTTGTTCTTGAGACTGTTGGAGGGTATCTAAGACTTGTCCTGGAAATCTCCCAGAATTGCTTGATTGTCCCTGTTGGTCTTTCTCAGAAATTGAAGCTAAGATGCTATAAATATATATATATATAATATATAAATATGACGTAACCTGGTTTGGCATTGGCAGTCTCAGTAGATTGGCGAATACAGCACGAATACAGCACTAAGGGCAGCAGGCAAGGGTTTTTTAGACCAGATTATTTGGCGTCCTTCTGTGACCATGGCAGGTGACTCCAGAAGAGGAGAGGTCCGGATGGCCCAGTGCGGGATGATGGTCCGAGAATTAATTCTGAAACTAGTAAAACCATTGATTTTTTGCCTGCTTCTGAATTTTGTGCAAAGATGTGCAAAGCTCCATTTTTCGGAGTACAACATATTGATCCAGAGTCACCTAAAACCTCCAGGGGTTGGCTCGGGCCAGCTGTGAGCCCGTAACAAGATAGTTTTTTCTCCTCAATTGCTTCGTATACCTTTTCGTGAAAACCCCAAGGAATGGCTTATTTGCGCCTACTCAGTTGCTATTTGTGGCTGCACTTCCATTTGCACGGCCCAACTCGACCTTTTTCCATGGCTGGGGGTACCAGATTGTCACAACAGTCACAGCCTCGAGGGAGTTCTGAGCCCCATTGGTCCATCCGTTTGGAGCTCAGCGGTGAGCAGAGTTCCATGGTGATCACGGCCAAGAATGGAGAACAAGCACAAGAGCACCAAGGGAGGAAAAAACAACTTATAGAATCAGAAGAACACCTAAAGATGCTGAGATTTCAAATGTTTTCAAGTGCTCCCAGGAGTTGTTTTGCCTTCTGATCTCTTGGATGATCTTTGACGATGCGAGCACTGCCAGGCCAAAAAGACTGGCAGCGAGGATGACAAGGTGGCAAATGGACACAGGATTCCAACAGCAACAAAATTGAACCAGATCAACTCACTACTTTACTATGTTGATTAAGGATGATTAAGGCACATAAAACATCATAAAACCATTGGATATAAAGGGGATAAACAAGAATAAACCATCATCAAAACTCCTTTTGGTCGTGAGGCAGCGACATGTTCGATGAATCCAACGCATGTGGCCAGCTTCAGAAGGCGTCAGATACGCCGGCAGGTCTCTATGCTGGAGAGACGCGTCGCCGTGCTTGAGGAGGTCCGGGTCCAGAACTTCTTGCGAAAGGCTGATGGTTTCAGCCCTAACATGGGAATTTCATCAGCACAAATGGTGCACCAGAATGGGGGTCCAACATGGTCCAACTATATTTGAAGTTGAGATTTCCAACAGCAAACTTGGGATAATTCTGGACAAACCCAGTGGTGAATGGTGGTTTTCAAATGATACTCCCGACTTCGTTTGCCTTTGAAAGAGATGGACAGTAGATAAAAGGTGGATTGTCGGATTCTATGGCTGTCTTGGGTTTGATGAGGTGCGACAAGACCATGCACAGGGGGCCAAAATCTCCCAAATGTCGATGGGCTTTTCCGGCCATTTTATGGTATATTCATAGCGATTCATAGTGCTACGATATTATGGTGGAAAAAAAAAACGTGGTTTCCCGTAGGTTTTCCCAGGAGAATCGCACCTTGCGTGCCGCACTGGCCGCGCTTCGTGAGATTGGAAGCAGTTGGGGAAACCCAGTGGTTTGTTTTCTTTGGTGTTATATCATATACATATATACCTATATATTACATATATATATATTGATATATATTGATATATAATGTATTGATACCATATAATGTCAACGTAGGATTAATAACCCCCCCACAAGGTCAGATGGACCTTGTAAGGTCTTTCCCAGTATCCCCCCTCCCCCCTAAATAAACGCCCCCTTGGAAGAGTTTGATTAATAAGGGGAACCCTCTGATTATTATTAATGGGGCACATGGGCTCATGGGGGGTACCCTTTGGGAGCTATCGAAACTGATGATTTTTATAAAGAAATTAATTAGAAATCAATCATTTGGGGAATAGTTTTTTTTTCCCAAATTTTCAATGATCAGCAGTGATGGATTTTGGTGTTCATGAGGTTTCAACTTAAGTATAGAATAAGGAAACCATTTGAAAATAAAGAGAATTGGAAAATAAAACAAAATGGGATTTAAGCACTGGTGGTTGATTAATCATCCCATGCAGAACAGTTTATTAATCCAGGGGGACCACCTGTTTTTAAATTACAATCTTTTTGGGGGGCAGTGGTGGTTGATTAATCGGGAAGGAAGGATTAATTTATCCTACCTTGACATTATCGAAGGAAGTTTAGAAGTCAAACTTCCGACAATATGGACAGATGAAAAGCAGCGCAGGGCAGAGGCAGAGAGAAGAGAAAGATTAGAAGAGAGAAGATCAGAAGAGAAAGAGTCAGAAGAAAGAAGATGCAGATGCGCGAAAAGGTAGGAAAGTCGCGAAACACTATGTTTTTCCAATGATTTGTGGCTCCGGAGAGCCAGCTGGCCAGATGAGCGATGAGAGATGAAAATTTGCACGCCGTTGTGGCGCGAAGCACATTTCGAAGTCAAAATGTACAAAGCACACCATGCTCGGACCACTTTTGGAAGTTGAGATGTCGAAAAAGTGCACGCCGTTGTGGCGCGAAGCACATTTCGAAGTCAAAATGTACAAAACACACCAGTGTCGGACCACTTTTGGCAGTTGAGATGTCGAAAAAGTGCACGCCGTTGTGGCGCGAAGCACATTTCGAAGCCAATTTCACAAAACACACCAGCTTGGGACCACTTTTGGCAGTTGAGATGTCGAAAAAGTGCACGCCGTTGTGGCGCGAAGCACATTTCGAAGTCAAAATGTACGAAACACACCAGTGTCGACCGCTTTTGGCAGTTGAGATGTCGAAAAAGTGCACGCCGTTGTGGCGCGAAGCACATTTCGAAGTCAAAATGTACAAAACACCACATGTTCGCGCCACTTTTGGAGGTTCGGATGTTGAAAAAGTGCACGCCGTTGTGGCGCGAAGCACATTTCGAAGTGAAAATGTACAAAACACCGCATGTTCGCGCCACTTTTGGAGGTTCGGATATTGAAAAAGTG